GGAGAGAAGTGTGTAAAACATCAGAGGCTGAAGCAACATTGAGCCGGGTGAAGGAGCACACCTCTGTGATCCCAACAGCTCGGAGGCTGAGGCAGGAGGATCCTTAGTTCAAGGCCAGCCTCAGCAACTTAGTGAGGCCCTGTCTCAATAATAATAATAATAATAATAATAATAATGATAATAAAGGGTGGAGATGTGACTCAGTGGTTAAACTCCCCTGAGTTCAATCCCTGGTTTCAAAAATAAAACCAAATATAAAAAGAAAAACAACACTTTGATCAAGGATACCTAAGGGGGGCCGCTGAACAGGGTGGAGGTCCAGATACACCAGCAGGGCCCTGTGCGCCCTGCAAGGCCGCGTTTCCAGCCCAGACGTCCACCAGCACCCGCTCCCTGATGGGAGGAACCAGGGGCTAAAAGCGGGCAGCGGGGGGACCGGGCCAGGACTCTGGGACGACGGCGCCCAGGGAGGCTCTCTGGCTACCAGTCCACTTCTCTGAAACGCGGAAGGGCAGCTGATCCACAGTGGCTGGAAGGGAGTGATGGCCAGGGCCAGGAGGGCTGTGGGTGGGCAGCACACGCCCAGGTCAACACACACTGAGTGGTGAACCCTGGCAGAATCGTGGGGGAGAGCATCCATTTTGGTGATGAAACCCAGGGCTTCAGCACCGAGCCCCAGCCCCAGCCCCTCTGTTTTTGGAGTCAGGGTCTCACTAAGTTGCTTAAGGCCTTGTAGGTTGCTGAGGCTGGGCTTGAACTTGCGATTCTCAGCCCCTGGAGTCTGAGGATTATAGCCATGTCCCAGCACGCCTGGCTAGAAAGAAATGCTTTTAAGAAGTCGCAGTTTTTGCCTTAAAGGACTCAACCAAGGGAGTGAAACGGGGCTGTGGTGAGGGAGAAGCTCCTGTAATGGTGCACAGGACCCGGTGGCTAGCCAGTCTATAGAGACCCCCTGAAACCCACAACCCACACGCCAACCCGACGGAAAACAGGCAGCGGGTTTAACAGACATTCCCCAAAGACGACAGGGGACGGCCACAGCCCTGGGCCACTGCTCACCACCAACCAGCTGGGGGGACCATCTGGCCCCTTGCCACAAACACCCAGGAGCAGGTCTGTGCAGCACTGCCCACAGGAGAACAGGGCCCAGGACCATGGTGAGCGGGCAGCACGCCTGTGCCGCGGGACTAGCGGGCAGCTGGGAACATAGGTGGCATGACCCACTGACCAGGCCTCCAGACCGGGAAGGCAGTGTGCAGTGGGGCAGGGCCCCGGTTTTTGCAGGACGGAGAGCTCTCCAGGTCTGTTGCACAGGGTGACAAGGGCAAAATGGTTAAGCTGATGTGTTGTTACAGTACTTTATCTCAACTAAAACTTCAAAAGAAAACTTCAAACCCCACCTCCAAACGGGGGGGGGGGGGGGGAGTGACACATCTGGGGGCTTCCTCCCTGACTTCTCCTGTGCAGCACCCCAGCTCCTTCCCCCAGGGCAGAGTGCCTCATCCAAAGCCTGCCCCTCTGCCCCTCGATCACTGCGTTCCCTCAGGCCAGCATCCAGCCTGCCACTGCCCCAGGTTCACAGGGTGTGACCAGGCCGTCACAGGCGACCCCAGCAGCACCGACTGTGAGTACAGCCGCTGCAAACACTCCCGAGATGACTCGTGACTCCCCACCATGACAGTCCCAAGTGGGCACTGCCGTCAGGGAGCTGTGAGGAAATCAAGGCCCCCAGGTCACACCCAGTGAGAGATCAAGCTAGCTGTCCGGACTCTGGCCATCCAGCCTGGAAGCCATGCAGGTGACCTCTGATGTGGCCGTGCAACAGAGTCCTGTGACGGAACCTGAGTCCCTGGTCCTGGGCAGGCCTCACCAATTTCCTTCTGGTTCTTGTCTCACCAATTTGAAGAATAAAATCCACAAACAGTAACAAAAAGAAGAGTGAACAGAGTGGGTGGGGTTTAAGCGAGAGAAGACAGAACTGGGGGTGCAGGAGGAGCCTGCTGGTGTGACAGGGCGGGGCCTCCTGGGAGACCAGGCCGTGTGAAGAGTCCCCACCCTTCAAACCCCAATTCTTGTGATCGGCAAGTGGCTCAGAGAAACAGGCTTGAAGGGTAGGAAAAGGGAAGGGGACACTCTCAAGGGAGGGAGTGGGTCCTCTCAGAGAGGAGAGGGACCATGTGCCCCTCCTCTGCTCCAGCTTTATTGGGGATCCCAGAGAAGTTTCCAGAGAGTCAGTCCTACCAGGTCCAGCTCTTGACTTTTGACCGACATCAGACTTTCAAGTCCCCACTGCCCTGACAGTCTAGGTCACTGGGCCCGTGCTGACCAGTTCTAATTGAATGCTTCACCATAGATTCTTCTAGATTTGGGGGTTAGGAGGAATAAGCCTTATCTCCCTGAATTTCAGGATCTGGTCTGTGAACAGGGCTACAAAAGGCTCCCCTCAGGGTAACTGGGTTCCTCTCATGCACATTATTTCAGGCCTGCATTTCCCCCGCAGATATCAGGTAGTTTACTGAGGAATGTGACGCACCCTGTCCATGTAAGCCAGGCAGGGCTGCAGGTGAATTGCTTCTTGGAAAATCAAGCACGTGGGGGTCAGCACAGTGGGCCTTGACCTCATGTTCCCACCGCTCGCATCTGTCTGCCCCTATCAGCAGGGACAGTAGGGGATGCGTGGCTGGCCTCCTGAAGGCTCTGGATGCCCAGCGTGCTCTGGATGCGGACGTCTGTCCTAGGTCCAGGGTCAGTCTTGGCTTATGCTTATGATCAGCAACAACCCCTTTTTGTTCTCAACCCTGTCCCCATTTAATTTCCCGTGATTTTTCCTTTGCAAGCAATACTGGGAATTGGCCCTTTGTCTGAAAAGTACCATCTAATAAAAGGACACCTAGGGATCAGCCACATGGCCCCGGGCCCTTGGTGCTGGCCCAACGCTGTCACCGTCTCACCTGCATTCAGTCCACACTGTCCTAATTACTGTCCTGCCACCTCTGGCCTTGCCAAGGCCCGTCTTGGCTGCTGGTCTGCTGAGAACATCCCGTAGGTCCGCTTGGGTCCGGGACTGCCAAGCGGGACTGGGACGAGGGGCAGCATGCTGACTGATCAGCCCTGGGGAGGTCAAGGAGGTCAGTCTGAACTGGGTGGCTCACGGATCAGGGAGGCAGGCAGTGGAGGTAGAGTGCCGGGGCGCAGAGATGCAGGGGGGCAGGGGATAGCCCGGGGCCTGGGAGTCCTGGTGGGGGAGGCTCCAGTCAGGCCAGGGGAAGAGGAGGTAGCCCGAGTCTTCTTGGGTGAGTTACTTTACCAGACAAGCAAGCAGGCCTTCTAGCTAGGATCACCCTCATTCAACAAGTCGCCTGCAGCCCGCTGCTTCTGGAGTCCAACAGGGCGACAGCCAACAAGGGCAGGTTCAGCCAGATAAGGAAGCATCCCCTTGTCAAGCCCCCATGTGGATTAGGTGAATTTTCATGTTACAGAACCAGGCTTCAAGAGCCCAAAATGACCTTGACCAAAGCAACCTCTGTCTTACAACAGCTCCTCAATAGGCCCCCTGTCTCTATCCTGAGGCACCCAGGTTTCCTTTCAAGGAAGCTTTCGACTTTGACTATTTAACATACAATAAATGTCGAATTTTTTCAAATTTATTTTTTAGTTGTAGTTGAACACAATACCCTTTTAAATTTATTTTTAGGTGGTGCTGAGGACCAAACTCAGGTCCCCACATGTGCTAGGCAAGCGCTCTACCGCTGAACCCCAACCCCAGCCCAAATGTTTGAATATTTAACAACCATGGCCTTTTCCAATACAGACAAAATAGTGAATGCATTGAGAGAAAATAAATATCTGAGTCAGAATCTTTTGACATTGATTGTGGATAATAAGTTTCTCAAAATGCCTGCCCCTGCTGTATGTTGAGTCTTGGGAACTGAGTGTTTAGTTTCAACAAGAGCATCCTGTTTAACACAAGGCCATGCAGCTAGCTCAAGAGCGCACAGGCTTGAGTCCTGTCTTCCTGTGCAGGAGGGGTTCTGGAGGGGCAGGCAGTCCAAGACACAGGTGGACAGGCAGGAGCCCATCCCTGTTCCCCGGCTGTGCTCAGCTTCAGCTAGAAGCCCACTCTTCTACTTTGGTCCTCTACCTGCGTTCCCAAACAACTCACTTCAAAGACATTTTTTTCCACTTTTATCTTTATTGTCTTTCTGCTCTCTGAACCTTAAAAAAGTCCTTTGACCTTGGGAGAGGTAATAAAAAATGATGTGACAGTTTATTTGTTACCATTAAAAATATGTGAAATCATGACAATTTCAGTCCCCCCAAAGTACACAAGAAATCAAAATGGGCTACAACCTGATTAGCCGGTAATTACCGGTAATCAGAAACTTGTTTCTGCATAAGAAGGTATTTCAAATATATTATTCAAAGTCAAGAAAAAAGGCAGATGGTGGAGACTACAAGTTGGCCTTCCACTGCCAGGGGGGGTTTCGTTTTCAAGGGTGCTTACCCCCTGGTATAACAGGAAGACACTTGCTGCTTTGAAGCTCCCAGGATTTTAAGGAGAACCTGCTCGAGCTAGGGCAGGGCTTTGCTGCCACCTGCTGGAGTCTATCGCTAATTCCTGGAACTGGGGAGGGAGGCTGGAGAGGCTCAGGCAGGAGGGTCACAAATTAGCAAGCCACGGTCCCAAAATAGCAGGGGGTAGGCTGGGGGTGTGCCTCGGTGGTTAAGCACCCCTGAATTCAATCCCTTGAACCAAACAAACAAAATCCAGTTACAGTTCAGACTATCCAAATAACAAGGTAGCAACCGCCTCCCACCGCGCAAAACCCGGTTCTGCGAAGGCAGCGCTCGCCTGACCCTCCATCGTGGTGTGCAGTTCCCCAGCATCTGCAGCCCAGTCATTTCCCACCAGGTGACCCCTGTGCGGACCAGTCCTCGAATCTTTCCGCTCTCCACTCGCCTTGCTAGCGCATGACCACGCCTCCCTGTGGAGCCAGGACCTAAACCCGGCTGGGGGCCGGCGCAGGCGGCCTCTCCTGGTGCGTTTTCCGGTGGCGCTTGGAGGTCCCGAGCTGGCGGAAGGCGCGGCCGCACACGTCGCACGTGTAGGGCTTGGCCTTCGTGTGGATGCGCCGGTGCACGTTGAGGTTGCCCATGTGGCTGAACCGCTTCTTGCAATCTGTACACTCGTAGGGCTTCTCCTGGGTGTGGACCCTCCGGTGGCCCTGCAGGGTGGACTCGTGCGTGAACTGCTTGTGGCAGATGGCGCACTCGAAGGGCCTCTCGCCGGTGTGGATGCGCTTGTGCACGCGGAGGTCTGAGGCCTGCATGAACCCCTTCCTGCACTCGCTGCACTTGAAGGGCCTCTCCCCGGTGTGAGACCGCTGGTGGACGACCAGCTGGGACCGGTAGGCGAAACCCTTCTGGCACACCCCGCACCGGTGCCGGCCCGCAGGTGGCGCGGTGCTGGGTGGAACTACTGAATTTACCCCAGCTTGACCCAAGAACCGGCCGGGATCCGGGGAGGCTTCGTGGGAAGCTTCCTGGGAACGTCTCTGCCGTTTGGAACGGCGTTCCATGGGAGCATCTTCTCCCTGCCCAGCGAGGGTGGCAGGGGTGCGAGCGCGCGCATTTTTACTACAAACTTCTTGGGGCTTCTTCACAGAATCTGCTGGAAGAAGGAACACACACAGCACTTACTAGAGAGCATTCTCCAGGAGGCCCGAGTCCTGGGAACTGAATGCTGATGGTGCGGCAAGTCCCCAGCTCCCCGAGATGGCACCTGGGGCTCCCAGTCTACTCACCAGGACCCTGCGGCAGCTGAGGCTCCGGAGACCTCTGGACAGGGAGGTCTCCACCTTCCTTCACATGCTCTCCCTGGTTCTGCGGGTCTACTTCGGCAGGAACCGGCTCTGGCAGGACTTCCTCACCCTGTCAAGTGGCACACAGAATTGCCAACAGGTCACATCGGGTGGAGCAGGGAAATCTGCCTCTTCCTGCTCTGATCCAACCTTTCCAAATTTGGTGGAGCTGTCTGGACCACCCCATGGCCAAAATAAGCGACCTGGGGTAGTTCCTAGGTCCTCTGCTGATGGGACCTGTCACCCTTCCCACGAGGCCCACTCCAGGGGGCTTTCTCCTCCTCAGGGCTCCTCTCTGTCCCTGACCCCGTCTTCCCGACCTCCACGTGGCACTACTGCTGGGTGATTCTTCCTGGTGCGGGGCTCTGGTGCCATGTGTAGCAGCATCCCTAGTCTCTACCTGCTGGACACCACTAACAGTCTCCCCATGTACACACAGAAGGACAATCCAAGGAAGTTCCAGACATGGCCGGCTACCCCCAGGAAGGCAAAACTACCCCGGGCTGAGAACCACGCCTTCAATAAGGAATTAATAAGTTTCAGAAACTGGGTCCTTGTGGCCAGTTGTACCCTGAAAGGGTCTTTTGGATCCAGCGCAATTGCCACGGCAGGCAGACCCAGCCCTATTTCTCAGGGACCGCTCTCCCACACCCTGAATGCCAACAGCTTGGACGGGGAGAAGGTCAAGAGCCTTGTTTGCCAGCACCTCTGTCAGCCATGGAGTGTGGTCCAGCCCACCCTGCATCTCCCAGGCACACCGGTGTCCTCTGGTACCTTCTCCCACCTCCCCAGGGGGGCATTGCACTCACCTGTTGTCCTGGTCTCTGGCCCTCCTGGGGGTTATGCAGTTCCTGGCTGGCCTCGCTGCTCGGAGGAGGTGCCTTGCTGGCTGAGGATGGGCACTTGCTGGACAAGTCCACCATGCTATTTGACTCACCAGCCACGGCCTCCAGCATCTGAGCATCCGGATTCTGTATAAGGAATTTCTGTCCTTCTAAAACAATGATGGACTGTAGGGGACATGACCAGACAGACACCCAGTAAGGACCCAAAATGGCTCCCCCTCCTCAGCCCGGCTCTCTCCAGAAGTGCCCCGCCCCTGGGCCAGGGCTTCCATCGCCACCTGGACCAGCGACCCTTGCTGTGGTCTGGGGGTCCTCCCAGTACTGTGGGGTTCTGCCCAGTGGAAGCCAGAAGTTAGAGCATCATAACAATGCATCTCCAGATCCGCAAGCAAAGTCCCCACCCTGCCCTTGGGCAAGATGACTTTATCACCATCCCGAGGTCTCTTACCTATTTTCTGTCTCTGTCTTAAAAAGTAACATAAAATGCTAATTTAAAATTTACAAGTTGGGCTGACCTGCTCCATCTCAACCTGGCACAGTCCAGTCCCTGTCCACCTGGCTACAGGTGGAGACATGGTGCCCTGAGACTAGAGCCTTGTGGAGGCCCTGTTTGGCTCGTTGGGGAGCCCCTGTAACCCAGGCTGACATCCTGTATCTCATGGGAGCAATTTCTGCAATTTTATCAAAGCTTACCATTCCCATTCTCAGGTCGCCCTTAGAATGTCTCACGGACCCCACCACAGGGCAGAAGTGCCAGAGTTGTCAAGCAAACTCTGCAGGAGGCCATGGCTTGGAACTGGCCTTGTGCTGAGGATGGTTGAGCTAAGTTCAGGTCAATGTCGGGTGCTCTAACCAATTAGCCAAGTGCACCATGACCACCAAAGTACCTCCACACCAGGCTTCCCCTTCCCATCCCATACTGAGGATGGGGTATCCACCACAGGTCCCCAAGGATACCCACAGACAACTGCACTTCCTACTTTGCTCAGTTTTGTTTATAATTGCTCCCATAAACACTGGTAAGTTTATTGGTCTGTAAGTCTTCCTTTGACTCCGTGTTAAACTGCAGTTGTGTCCACTTATAAAAACTCCCTGTGAATGAACCTTTTACCCCATGGTGGGGCAGAGTGTGCACACCCCACTAGACCCTGTGACCCTTGCTCCTGCCACACCCCCTTCCTCACTCTCCAAAGCATCCAGGCGCACACAGCCACCATGATGGAAGGTACCCTGTTTAAACCCCACCCACTCCAGCGGTTCTCAGCTGGGAGGCCACCTGCAAGACACTGGAGACATCATCACAATGAGGGAGCTAGTGGCCTCTGGTGGGGAAGGCCAGGGAAGCTGCTAGTATCCCACAGACGCAGGACTCACAATGGACTACTGCTCACCCAACACCCCTGCTGTCCAGTGTGATGGACCCTCATGGAGTCCAAAGGCTGTTACTGCCCTGCCAGCCACAGATCCATGGCCACCAGACACTGGCCATCTGAGACAATGAGAAGCTGTCACCTGGACTCCAACATGTCATGGTGAACGCCTTAAGGACGGCCTTGCCCCGCCCCCGCCCCCGTGGTTGTAGACCTGCACTCCTCAACCTGGAGCAGCTGACGTTGGGGGCTGGGCCACCCTGCTCTAGGGACCGTCCCCTGTCTTGCCAGGGGGTTAGCAGCCTCGCTTGCCTCCACCCATCAGATGCAGGTAGTAGCTCTGCCCACTCCATCGTGACAACCAAAAAAGTCCCCAGACCTTGGCAAGTATCCCTCATGGGGTGCAGCCTCCTCAGGTAAGAGCCAATGAGGGAGTCAGCCTGGCGGCTGACCGTTGCTGCCCTCCTCCCCACGCCCTGCGCAGGCCGCACTCACCCATTTCTGGGGCTTCCTGTGGCTCCTGAGCAGGTCCTCCAGGTCCCGGCACCTCTTCACACCGCTCTCCCTGACCAGGACCTGCAGGTCCTCGGGCATGGAGATCATGAACTGCTCAAGAACCAGCTGGTCCATGATCTCCTCCTTCGTGTGCAGGTCGGGCCTCAGCCACAGGTGGCACAGCTCTGAGATCCTCTTCAGATCCTGGATGGGGTCCGCATCCCGCGAGGCAATGAATGTTCTAAACACCGTGTGCCAGCTCTCTGGGCTGAAGCTGGGCCTGGGGCTTCCTGGGGACGGTGAGGACAAGGGCTGATCCTGCCCAGGGCTGTCCTGGGGCCTTCTTTCACCTGGTTTTAATGTGGGGTCTGCTGCCATCTGTGGAGGGCTCGCCATCAGGATCTGATGAGCTGGTCAGAAAGACAGGAGGTGGCCTGTTCCACAGTCTCTTCCCAGTGAGGACTCTGCAGGACAGTGGGCTGGTCAGTCTAAAGCGCTCCATCCTCCTGCCAAATCCCTCACACCCAGCGCCAGATGCTCCCCCACAGGTGGTGTGCCTAACGGGGAATTGGTCCATTCTGTCATTCACCCAACACCCACACACCACTACACGCTTTGGCTTAGGGGTATGAGTGGCCATTGGATTACCGCTGCATGTCCAGAAGTGGGGCTGGTTTTCCTCTCTATCAATAGGGACATTATTGTTATTTTTTTTTTTATTTTGAAGTGCAGAGGATGGAACCAGCGCCTTGTGCATTCTGGGCAAGTGCTCCACCACCCAGCTCTGTCCTCAGTTCTTTCTTGAAACTGTCCTTTGAGACGGAGCCTGGCTAAACTACACAAGCCGTCCTCAACCTGCCTCAGCCTCCTAAGTAGCTGGGGTCACCAGTGCCCCGAGGTGGTACTGTTCAATAATTATATGAAGCTCCCGGAATCTACTAGATGCCGAGCAAAAATTATGTTTAGTCAGAATTGTGCAGAAAAAGAAAAGTATTTACACCCTGAGAATCCCATGTGACGCAGCAATTTTGGAAATATTGACTCAGCTTGGCCCCCACCACATTTCCTTGCTGGTCTCAGAATATTTTGCTGCTCCAGGAAAAGGAGGATATAAAAAGATTCTCAAGCCAGGTGGAGTGGCACACACCTATAATCCCATCAGCTTAAGAGGTTAAGGCAGGAGGATTGCAAGTTCAAAACCAGGCTTAGCAACTTAGTGAGGCCCTAAGCAACTCAGCGAGACTCTGTCTCTAAATAAAATACAAAATAGGGCTGGGGATGTGGCTCGGTGGTTGTGTGACCCTGAGTTCCCTCCTTGGGAAGGGAGCCTCCTCTCCCAGCAAGTGCAAGGCCCTGCGTCAGTCCCCAGCACTGGGGGAAAAACACTCTAAAAAGAGAAAAAAGTCAGCCTGGAATTGTGAGTCAAGGGTTTCATGCTACTGGGGTCACTTGTAACTGCTCGTAGCCATTTGGAGTTTCGGCACCCCAGGGGGAGCCCTGGTCCTGGGTGGACACCTCTCGGGAGCACTGCCTCCTGGTGATGTGTAGCCAGAGGCTGGATTTGACCCTGAGGAAGGGAGGACTCCAGCAAGGCTTTGTAAGCAGAGGGGCAGTGTGGTGAGCACCACTCAGGGAGGCTGATCCCAGAGGAAACCAGGGCAGCACGGTTCACCACGAGTCTAGCCATCTCCCCGTCCTTCAGATCACCCAAGGGGGCTGGGTTCCCCTCAGACCCTCAATGCTGTGTGACAGCTTTAGACAGAGTCCTCAGCTCATCCCCAAGCTCTGCCAGGCCTCGACCTCCTTCTCAAACTGGGGACAGAAACACTCTAAATGGGGGACAAGGCAGCAGGTGCTGGTGGTGCCTGGGCATGTGGGCATGGGTAAACACGGGCGCTGATTCCTGCTGGGCCCGCAGCCCCCTCCAGGCACAGCTGGGGCCCCACCCTGGTGTCAGCACGTAGGAGCCAGGGCTGCCTCCAGACATGCATGGGACAGCCCCTCAGAACAAGAGAAAGACACGGCCAACAAGGCTAAGTGGGGCAAACACCGACCAGTGCCCCTGCAGCCGGCCTCCGTCTACCCCAGAGGACCACTCACCAGGCTTCCTCTCCTGGCCTCCTCTCCTGGCCTCCTCTCCTGGCCTCTAGCCTCTGGCATCTGGGCTCCACTCCCGGAATCATCTCTATTTATACAGAAGTCAGGCCTCACTTCCTGTTACCTGGCCCCGCCCAGTGATGGGTTGATCATTCCAGATTTTCTGCAATGATCAAAACACATAAACCAGCAAAATCCCATCAGGAGGGAATTGACTTATTCAACACACCCACTTTGAAGGAGTGCCTTTTCCGAGCCTATGGAAGTAGGTCACGTGCTCCATGAGTTTGAAAGGGCGCAGAGGCACAATTTTTAGCCAGTTGGGGTCCATCTTTTTTTTTTTTTAACTATACATATATATTAAGGGGCTGGGGCTAGAGCTCAGTGGTAGAGGTTGCCTAGCACGTGTGAGGTGCTGGGTTCAATCAACATTTCATTTTATATATATATACACACACACATATATATATATTTTAATATGTATTAAAAAGATTTCATTTAAAATACATTGACAACTGGGGCTGGGTTGGGGCTCCGTGGCAGAGCACTTGCCTAGCACATGTAAGGCCCTGGGTTCAATCCTTCAATCCACATAAAAATAAATAAATTAAATAAAGGCATTAGGTCCATCTACAGCTACATAAATAAACAGATAATAAACAAGAACACCCTGACAGAGGGATGGCTGTGTCTCAGTGGGACAGTGCTTGCTTGGCAGGCACGAGCCCTGCGTCCGTCCCCAGCTCTGCAAAATAAACAAATAGATGGGTAAACTGAAAGGACCGGAGCACATTAGGACCCAGAGACAGGAGGTCGGGAGTGGGTGGGCAGGGTGTGGGGGCGCCTGCCCTGCATGGCACAACCTGTCCCACACATCCTCCTGGGCATTCCAGCCAACATGAGCACACGCTTCCCTGATTCTGTAGCCCAGGCCAGCAGATTAGGCAGGCCCAGGGAGGGACCGCCGAGAGGCTGGGGTCTGACGCTCCCTCCAGGGACCTTGGGACTGAATAGGACCAGGACGCCCAGTGTGTCCCTGAAGGACTGCTCCGAAAGACAAGTCCCCAGATTTGGTGACCAGGGATCACAGAAGTATGCTATGTCCATCTGGGTGCCTGACCGTGGACAAGTGCTTGAGTGGGGTCTTGTCCTTCACCATTCAGGACCAGAAGTCACCAAATTGTGCGCTGCCAAGTGTGGGTTTCATGGCGTGTGCATGACATCTCAGTAAAACTGTGATTTCTTTTCAAAAAGGCAGCAAAAGAGAAAGGAAAGGAGAGACAGACAGAGAGGTGGAGAGTGTATCCGTGACTTCCCCAAAGTGCCCGAGACAGCAGTGTCTCCACCAGGACACGCTGACAACAGGCGGTGAGTATCACATTGGTGACTGGGTCTGATTTGTGCAAAGTTTTGTCAGTACTAATTCCCAGATCATGGAAAAATGAAAGGTAAATACTGGATAATCTGTATTGGTGAACGTTTAACTTGTTTTCATCAGCTTGGAATTAATGTTAAAACTTTGGCTCAAACTAGATTCAATCGCTGGTTTGACATCCGTCAACATACTCTTTTGCAGCATCAGTGGGAACCAGAGAAAAGCAGGCCCACTCTGTGCCCCACGCCGGGGCCCCCGGGGGTGGTTTCTGGTGGATTGAGGCCCTTTGCTTGGGACCGGGGCTGCCAACCCCTGGCTGTGCCTCACAGGTTTAGAAAAGCCTTCATGTGGGCTGTGAACTGCACGTTGTAGAGTCAGTGCTGGGTAATAATTAAGGGTTGGGCAAAATTAGGGTGTGATTTTGGAAGCTCCATAGGATGGACGTGGAAGAAAAAAAATCATTCAAGCACAGTCTTAACACATTTGAGTTCACAGTGGACTTGTTCAACCTCCAAGATGAATCCGAGGGACGTTGGTTTAGATGGATTCTGCTTCACTGCCCTGGGAGATCCTGAGCAAGCCTCTGGGCCCTCACCCTGAACTCCTGCCGGTGGTTTTAGGGACACTTCACCTTCCTGCATTCCCTCCAGTGAGCAAGACCCTGACTGCATGTGCCTGGCACACAAGGTCATTTAATCAAAGAACAAAAAACAAACTGTGATTACTTTTTCTTGTTGACACCAGAGGTGCTGATAAGAAGTCAGTTGAGAATGGGTTTAGCCAGCACATAATCTGTAATCCCATCTGCTCAGGAGCCTGAGGCAGGAGAATTCCAAATTCAAGGCCAGACTGGCAATTTGAGAGACCCAGTATTTGAAATGCTACGAAAGGAAAGGAAAGGAAAGGCTAGGGTGTGGCTTGGTGGTAGAGCACTTGACTAGCATTCCTGAGGTCTGGGTTTCAACCCTTGACAGCACAAAAGCATCTTACAAATTAAGAAAAAAAGAACGGATTTGTAACTGGAGTTAGTGGAGTCTGAAACCACCATTTACCTACCAGATGGCAAAATCCTCCACTCTGGAGACCTGCCCTCTGGGGCTGTGTGCCTGCTCTGAGTTCTCAGTTGAGCTGAACATGTCCAATTTAGGCCCAGCCGACTGCACTGCCTTGTCCTAACAGAAGCCCACAGGGGAGAGGGGGGCGGCTCAGTGGTTAGACTTCAAGCCTGACCTCTGAATTCTCTCTCTCTCTCTCTCTCTTTGTTTATTTATTTACTTATTTTGCTGGGGATGGAACCCGGGGCCTTGTGCATTCAAGGCAAGCACTCTATCAACTAAGCTATATCCCCAGCACCTCTCTCTTTTTTTAAAAATCATTTTTAGTTGTTGATAGACCTTTATTTATTTACACGTGGTATTGGGAATCAAACTCAATGCCTCACACATGCCAGGCAAGTGTGCTAGCACTGAGCCCCAGCCCCAGCCCTCTCTCTCTTTTTAAATAATTCCTTCTTTTAGTTGGCAATGGACCTCCATTTTATTTATTTATTTATTTTTCTGTGGTGCTGAGGATTGAACCCAGGGCCTCACGGGTGCCAGACAAGCCCTCACCCCCCCAGCCCCCGGCCCCGCCCTGAATTGTCTTGATGACATCCCTGGGTCCCTTCCCAGACAAAAGGCTTTCATTCAAAGCTCAATTGAAAGTCTATTGCTTTCTGTGTTTAATGACATATACTTATTTGACCAAAAACTTATATAAAAGGTATATAACTTGATTTTTAAAATTAATTCCTTTATTTTTAATTGACTAATAACAATGGCATATACTCAGGGGGTTCCGTGTTAGACTTTGATATATGTGTATGTTGTGGCTTGATTAAATCAAGCTGATTAACATGCTCAGTGCCTCTTCTGGTCTTTGTTGT